AGGGCTTACTGAAGGCGAATACAAAAAAGTTTCTCTTATAAACAGACATTGAACCTACAGGTGTACTTGAACACGGTTAGACAGTTGAATTAAATTAGGTGGGAGTCGTATACGCCTAATTATGTGTCGTGTTCATGAATGTTACTGTAAATAACAGAGCATCACTTGTTGTTGTGCATGCATACGTGATTAACTCCGTTATGTTGAAGGCCTGGTAGAGAAAAGTAAGGTTAGAATAAGGAATATAATAAGGTTTGTTCGCTTGTAGTTTTCGAATGTTTTAGTGTTAGTTCACGGTACAGAAGAGGTCTAGATGTCTTAATCTCAAACAAAGTCATGATTATTGATTTTTGTCTGTGAAAAGAACGTACATAATTCAATGGCTGTGCGTGAACCTGCATTTATATTAGATCTTAGTGTAGCTCTAGAGGTTTTATATTATTTCTTGACAGTATTATGCCTATGAGTAGAAGTGCAGGAAAGGTGAGATTAGGACTAAAGTTCTTTCTGTTAACTAGCTGCAGACTCTTTAGTCTCACAGCCACATCTTCAGTCTTGCAGCCTGGCCTGGCTACAAAATGCATGGCGTACATCGCGGTTAAATTCGCTGTATGCAGGTCTTACGAAACCGCTCGAGTGTAGCTGTGTGCGGATCATATGTTACCTCGACTAATGCTGAATATATGTGCATGTTTTTTTTTGGCAGAGCGAACAGATCACATGCCAGTCGGCTTCAGTCGGGGGGGGGGGTGGCCAGTGTTTTGATGACCCGTCGAGTGGTTGTATTAGTGGGTATAGGAGTACGTGATAAGGGAGCGGTTCAGTAGTGGCAGGAGAGCTGAGGAGTGAAACGACGATTAGTCAACTTAAATTTGCCCTAATGTTGCCTTTCACTTATCTTGCATAGCACAAGGCGTAAATTCACATTATTAGATTCGGGGGCACACACACACACACACACACACACACATACACACTCACTCACTCACTGCTCACCACATAACAGATAACACATAACCTATCATCAGAACGTGTATGTAATGTACAGCCTATACATATATCAGAATGAGGTTACTCCCTCTCCCCCACCACCAGCACCGATATAACATTCATGCACACGCTGTTACAAACTGCATGCGGCGCCCCCTTCGTACAACTCAGGATACCACTGCCACAAGACCAGTACTATTTTCAAGTGGGCGGAGCTCCGGGGAAATCCAGCGAATGGCAATCCAATGGCTGCGAAGTCGATGCCGAAAAAAACATCAGAAATTTTTATGTTTTTCATGTTTGTCGGTGGAAATATTTAGACATTTTAAGCTGAATAAGCAAAAATGTATCAAAGAAAATATTCGTGAATTAGGTATATTGGTAAGCATCCGAAAAATTCATGATAAATATTAAATAAACACATGAACTTAGTTTGGTAAACAGCGTATGACTTGAAAGTAGTAAATGGGCGCACAATCCACGCACTATTTCGTAACACTATTTTATCAAATTTTTCATGAAATAATGGTCCGATTTTTATTATTTTTGCAACTTTTATAATTACAAATCATATTACATAGGACACAAGCAATGGGGCCACTGTAAAAGTTATAGTTAAAAAGCGTAAGAAATTCTTACTGAAATCTGTTTGTGGCAGTGGTGAATTGAGCCAGAGCGAGAGCGCCAGCTGCCGTGGAGTTTGGCGCTGTTGCTCACCTATCTTCAGAGCCCTGAACGTGACGGCAGGCATGGCGTAGCACGCAAACACGTCGTCCAGGCAACAGAATAACGTCTCTGTTGGCTCGGTGATCGACTGCCCGCGACACTGGCCCCACATGTACACAATGCCTGCGTGCGTGATCGCTGCCGAAATGTGCGTGTAGTGCGACGCCGCGATGTCCATGAACCTGGGAATCACGATGCACAGGGGTCACTACCAGGGGGCGTTGCAGAAGTACACCAGGGGTCAGCACCGGGAGCAGTCGTGGGAGTAGGGCAGGGGTCACCACCAGTGGGGCATCGTGGAAGTATGACAGGGGCCACCACCAGGGGGGCGTCGTGGAATTATGAGAGGGGCCACCACCAGGGGGACATCATGGAAGCATGGTGGGTGTCACCACCAGGGGGACGTCACGGAAGCATGGTGGGTGTTGCCACCAGGGGGACGTAATGGAACCATGGTCGGTGTCGCCACCAGGGGGACGTTATGGAAGCATGGTAGGTTTTGCCACCAGGGGGACGTCATGGAAGCATGGTGGGTGTCGCCACCAGGGGGACGTCATGGAAGCATGGTGGGTGTCGCCACCAGGGGGACGTCATGGAAGCATGGTGGGTGTCACCACCAGGGGGACGTCATAGAAGCGGAAGGCAATGGTGGTGGTCGCCCAAACCAGGGGACTCAGGAAGCATAGGGGTGTTGCCACCAGGGGGACGATCATAGAAGGCATAGTTGGGGTGATCGCCACCAGGGGACGTCATGGAAGTCATGGTGGTGCTCCAGGGGACGTCTCATGAGAAGCATGGTTGGGTGTACCACCCCCCCAGGGTGACGTTTATGGAAGCATGGTGGGTGCCCAGGGGGAACGTCATGGAAGCGTGGTGGGTTCGCCAACCAGGGGACTGTCAATTAGGAAGCATAGTGGGTGTTGCACCAGGGACGGGTCAGGTGGAAGCATGTCGGGTCTCCAGGGCGGACCGTTATCCCGGAAGGCATGGTGGTGTCCCAGGGGATGATCCATGGAAGCACTAGTCGGGTGTCCCAGCAGGGGGATGATCATGGAAGCATGGTGGGTGTCGCACAAGGGGACGTCCATGGAAAGGCATAGGTAGGTGCCGCCACGCCAAGGGGCCCACTCGTAAGACTATAATACCGCAGAGGGCAGGAACACTAGGTCGTATTGTGGAATGCACCGGTTGGGCCTAACATCAAACCCAGGTGGCACATGCTGACACAAGAAATAGGGCCCCTTACCGACGCAACGACGGCGTCAGCTGCTCCGAAGCTAAGTGGGAGGGTGCCACCTCTAGTGTGCATTCGTACGACAGAATCACCACCAGAAAGACAATCCCACCGGGGGTGTCGAGTGGAGTATAGCGCAAGGGTTACCACCTGGGGCCGTTGTCAAACATAAATTAGTCTTAACATTAGTTCCTTAACATTAACTCCACGTCGTAACCGTATGACAGAAACATCGCAAAGTTACGGAGAATGAAAAAGTTCGCTCGAAAATACGCTCTCAGAACCAATCTAAGCGACACGCCACAAAACCGCGTCTCGTAACTTTTCAACTATTAACGCATAGCACACAATAACAACCACATATTTCAACACACTATGGTGCGGAATCTAACATTATAGTGAATATATACATTTATAATAATACGAGCTAAAAATGTGTTTTCTTTAAAAACACGTCAAAACATTAAATATCTACCGATCATAAAACAAAACAAAGACAGTTTACCAAAGATGGTTGTAGACATTTTGTCTCGGTTTTAATGACTTTGCACTTGGCCACTATTCTCTGGCGTCTCGTGTTACAGTGTGAAGAATTTGCTGTTGTGCAGAATACAATTTCATGANGATCACGCTCAGAGTGCATCGAACAGGCTCCATCAAGATAGGCTTAGTGTTAGCACTAGGCACAGGCACAGGCACTTGGAACGTCTCAATAAAATATAAAAAAGGTAAATAAACACGAAGCATCGATGACTCCAGTGTGATGACTTATGATGCCATTAACTTCATCACCACTAAGCAAAACTTCATAACAATCTCCTTTTCCGTCCTTTATTTGCTTTCATTTCGGGTTTAATTATTATTAATATTATTATAACACAATTGGACAGTAAAAAGCAGGTAGACATTGAGCCTCTTCTTTAGAAATACCAATGCATTTACAGTGAAGCCATTGTTCACACTTGTGGCAGCATATCCTTCAGATGCCGACCATTGCATCGTGAGCATATTTCTTTTTCTTCAGTTGTAGCCATAATTTCAGGAGTAAGATAATATAGATTATAATCATAGTGTAATCATCGATCTTTTTCTAGTGTGGTTGGTTCTAGCTACCGCTAATACGGGGTGCCATGCAGGACAGAGCTCAATTTTGTCAACAAAATCCATTTTTGTACCTATAAACTTGACAAAAACGAGTTTTGTGGGACTAGTGCCATTTACAATTGATATAAATTGGTGGTTTTACTCAAAGCGTTTAATTACGCGTTCATGCTTTAATTTAACCAATATATCCTCTAATAATATTTAAATAATAAAAATAATAAATAATGTAAAATCAGTACGAAGAGTATATCCAAACATAGATAGCATCAGACGTGTACGTATAGCACTTCATGGTATGTGTAACTGGAGACCAGTAACCACTGAATCGCTCTCTGCTCAATGTTGTCTTGAAAACGTGTCGATTCTCCATGTCGTCTGTGTGTTCATCTGGTTACGGTGCGGTGATTGGCACTGGAAAAATATTTTATGTGCATGAAATTAATATGAAATTCGACAACGAAAGGCGGATGACGGATCAGTTGCGACTGACAATGAAGTTTGTGCAGTTTTATCTATCCCCCCCCCCCTCTCTCTTTCGCTTTCTCTCTGTGTCTATCTCTGTCTCGCGCGTGCTCTATGTATCTATCGATCTATCGATCTATTTATCTCTTCTCTCGTTCTTTTGCTCTCTCGCTTTCTCTCTCCCCCGATCTTGCTTCCCCCTCTGTCTGTGTTTTTTTTTCTGGTTTTGTTTGTTTGTCTGTCTATCTCTCGCTCGCTCTTGTTCTCTCTCTCTCTCCCGCTCGATCTAGCTCTCTCTCTCTCCCTCCCTCTCTCTCCTCTCTTCCTCTCTTCTCTCTCTCTCTCTCTCTCCTCTCTCTATTTATTAATCTAGCTCTAGCTCTTTCCCGCCCTCTCTCGCTTGTATCTGGCCCCCGATCTCGCACCCCCCCCCTCCTCTCTCTCGTGTCTGTCTGTCTGTCTCTCGCTCTCGATCTGTCGCATCTCCCTCGCTCTCTCTTGTCTCTCTCTCTTCTCTCTCTCTCTCTCTCTCTCTCTCTCCTCTCTCTCTCTCTCTCTCTCTCACTTCACTCTCTCTCACTCTCTTCAATCTCGGCTTTCTCTCTCCCCTCTCTCTCTCTTTTTTCTCTCTCTCTCTCTCTCTTCTCTAATATGATCACCTATATACAAGCAGACGGTCAAGACTCACTCTCTACAAGGCACAGCCGACGATACGACAAAATGGTTTTCAAAAAATTTCGTTTTGATAAATACATCTACAAATATCATTAGTCCAAATTAATTATTACTTTCTTTCATTCTCAGCTATACACCCATAATAACCCGTATAACCTCTCCCAATAGTCAAGCTTACGTTAAATATTTACCATGTATACACATATACCACACAATGTAGTACCTGCAGATATCGCTAATGCTAGAAAACACCAGCAGGATTCATGACAAGAATTCATAACATATGTGTGCTAATAGTATAATAAATAAATACCTACCGTTAAAATAAACATTTTGGTATGCTCAAACAGAACGATCGAGCGGTGCACGACGCTGCCTCGAAAACATGTTGATTCTTCGTGTCATTTAGCGACGTTGATTATGCCAATAGAAATTTGACGTGCACGAATTATAATATCTGGTACATAAACTTGGACAAGGAAAGTGGAGAGCTAAGCACGAGGTGATTAGACTCGCCATATAGACTATCTGGCAATGTTTGCCCAGCGTGACAGGTTAGAGTATAATAAATACTGATTTTGTATAATCGGCAATAATTATAATATTTATAATATGTATGTAATAATATGACTTATATATATAATCATATACATAATACATTAAGTATATCCTCTGTGCAATCCTCTTGGTATGTCAACTAGAGACCGCGTAACACTCAATCTTTGCACGACGCGGCTCGAAAACGATCATAATTCTCCGTATCCTCCAGTCTGGCAATTGACACTGAGAAATAACTTTGATGCGTATATATCAATTATTTGTAGTTTCTTGTGAGCTTAGACAGGGAAAACGGAGAACGAATCAGAGAAAACTTGACTGACATATAGACTCTACCCCGTGAATTATACCCTATCGCTAAGTACATACTATAACACGCATCTTTAGGCAATATGACGCATGAAAGGGTACTTTGCTACCAATTTAAACTCGGTTCAGGTATCGTGTGTGTTATTATTAAGCCATTCATATGGCTGTAATTAAAACGATACTGCTGAACGACATTGAATTAAGTGTGAAATTATAACAACTACGAAGCCTCAGTCAGCAAGAATTCCTGTATAATTATTTACCTCAGAGCCTGTAATTGTTGCGCATTCGAAGTTTTCACAGCTTGAATTTTTGACGACAGAACACAGCAGAGAACATGTCGGGGACTGCTTCGGAGCCACGTGTTTACTTATACTGGGGAAACCGTTTCTGAATATTACTCGCCCAAGAGAGAAGCCCGTCACAGCGTGACGAAAGTCCAAGTGATTCATTTATTTATAATATTAGCGCGCTATATATGTTGAACCTTGGAGTAATCATTCTGACTCAATCAGTCAGAATCAGTCAGAACGATTACTCCAATGTTGAACATACTGGCAGGCATGAAAGCAATATAGGCTTCGATTTAAGTTTTTAAATCCACAACTGGGTGCCGGATCCTGTGCTTCTCTCGCGCTGACTCTTTCCCCCCTCTCCTCCCTCTCTGCCTTTCTCTCTCTCATCTGTGCGTTCATCTCTCTCCTCCTTGCCTTTTTCTCTCCTCTCTGCCTTTCGATCCTGTCTCCCTTCTGCCTTCCTGCCGTCGCTGCCGTCCTCTCCCTTCGCTACCCTCCTCTCTCCCCTCTCCCCTCTCTGCCGTCCCCTCTCTCTTCTCTGCCTTCCTCTTTCTCCTCTCTGCCTTCCTCTCTCTTCTTTGCCCTACTCTTTCTCCTCTCTTGCCTCCTAGCTCTCTCTTCTCTTCTCTGCCCTATCCTCTCTCTCATCTCCGCTGCCAGTCTCTCTTTTCTCTGTCTCTCTCTCCTCCTCGCGCTCTTCTCTCTCACTCCTTCCTTTTCCCGCTCTTTATCCTTCCGCCTTTCTGTGTGTGCATTGCCCGTGCGCGCTGTTTAGTTCTTAGGTGTGCCATTCTTATATCTGTCATACATCTCTTAATCGCTCTTTCACGCGCAGTCTCTCTCTCTCTCTCTCTCACTCGCTCTCTCGCTCCTCTCTCGCTCTCTCTCTCTCTCTCTCTCTCTCTCTCTCTCTCTCTCTTCTCCTTCTCTCTCTCTACTCACTTCGCGCGCTCTTTCTCTCTCTCTCTCCTCTCTCTCTCTCTCTCTCTCTCTCATCGCTCTTCTCTCTCTCTTCTCTCTCTCACTCGCACGCTCTCTTTCGCTCTCTCTCTCCTCTCTCGCATTCGCTCCTCTCTCTCTCTCTCTCACTCGCCACGCTCTCTTTCTCTTCTCTTCTTCTCTCTCATTCGCTCTCGTCCTCTCTCTCTCTCTTCATTCGCCTCTCTCTCTCCTCTCTCTCTCTCACTCGCCGGCTCCTTCTCTCTCTCTTCGCCTCTCTCTTTTCTCTTTCTCTCTCTCTCTCTCCCTCTCTCTCTCTCTCCTCTACTTCATCTCTGCTTCTCACTCAGCTCTCTCTCGTCTCTCTATCTCTCTTCTCTCTCTCTCTTCTCGCTCTCTCCTTACCTCTCTCTCTCTCTCTTCTCTCTCTCATCTTCTTACTTCTCCCTTTCTCACCCTTACCTCTCTTTTCATTTCACTATCTCTCTCTCCCACTCTTCTCTTTGTCTCACGCTTGTTTTTTCTCTCTTTCTCTCTCTCTTCATTTCTCCCTCCCTCCCCTCTCTCTTCGTCTCCCTGTCTTTCTCCTCTCTGTCGCGCTCCTCTCGGTTCGTTTTACTTCTAATTATGCGCCTTTCAAGTTATCACAGTTAAAAACATCGACCACAGAAACACAGAGACAAGATGGTGAGGATGATTCTGTTCACGTGTCGATTGAACGCGATAGATCTTGTCTCTCTCGCCACATCGTGATGAAACCCAATGTTAATCAGGTCAACGATATAATATCCATGTGGGTTAGGCCTATTCCATATATAGTCACTTTATAATTGTTTTTCACACTAGATGTCGCTAGGATTTCAAAATTCAACATAGCATTTCCCATAGATAAATTGAACCAGTATTCTATATCAATGCATTTCCTTATGTCATTGGATGGTGGCGCCTCTAGCGGATCACTATATCTCCCTTGAGACCGCCTATGGACCTATACACTGATATTATCATGGTTCTCCCCGGGAATTTTCGATGGCATACCGGGCAATCAGACAATTAATCTTTCATGGCTATAATAGGACTTAATTATGAATGCCATAAGCTGTACTGATAAACAGGTGAACTGGATTAGTTTGAAGGCATACGTGAAGCTGGGAAAACTTAGCATGACTGTGTTAGGATTATATAGTAAACGCAGCTCGAAATTAAGGCATATCAGAGGATTCATGGTATATCACAAATTATCATCGGCATTTAAGGCATGTCAGACCTGGCAGGCTTGGGGAGAACCCTATATATATATATTCTGTATGTGTAATATCAATATTTGGTGTAGGGAGTGATGCCACAGCAAAAGAATCTTAACAGATGAATTATTCTTCCTTCAGCAATGCTGTGCTGCATATATGGACGTAAACACATGAACCTCTGAATAAAGAGCGATTTACTCTCAATTATTTATTGCTTATAAAATTATTTATTAGTTATACTTAATATATATCCACACATATACGAGCGCACGCGCAACGCATACGCATGGACACACGTTCACACACGCGCAAAGCGTCCTATTTACACACCCCCGGCACCACACACACACACACAACGTACGCGTTAAAAAACCTCCACACCTCTATTGTCGAACCATAATTCTGTCCACGGTATTATTAGGAATTTACCTACTCCCTTGTTATACATGCTGAAAGCGGTGCGTAGCTGATATATGTCTTTACTTTTCTCGTACAGCCCCCACCCCGCGCACTAACTCAATTTATCGTCTGTGTTTGCGGTGTGTGTTCCTGTTTGACAACCCTACGTCCTGCCTGCTAGGCTGCAGCGGTAGCTCCTAGCATATCACGCTCACACAGTCACAGCGAGTGTAGCTGGGACGGCAGCAGACAGCTCGATCCCTGGTCATTATCTCTACATCGGTGAGTGTTATATATATATATATATATATATATATATATATATATATA